TTCTGATGCTTCAAATGAAGAGACTCAGCATTCAGAGGAGTCTATAAAGTTTTAGGTCAGCAGCGTTTGCAGTTTAAAATCATTTTTAATGCATGAATAATGGCTTAGTTTCGCTTCTTTTTTGTTGCTCTCATGTTTGTATAACTGAAATAATTATTGTACAATCTGGACTGAGAACTAATCAGACTGCATTTTTTGCACCAAATTGGATCTGAGGAGGAAAAGTTTTCTTCATCCTACTCGTCTTCAGACATTATTTTAGGTTATGGAGTTGGATCAGTTGTTCGGTTTAGTTTTGTTTGGGGTTTTTTTGTGTTGTGGATTTATTTTTCTCTTTTGTCTTTATAATATGGTGGCATGTTTGCAATAAAAAAAATATAAATTAAATTAGTAATTTTTTTGTTTGGTTCCCCTTTTGCTTTTTCCCAAATTTTGAAAAATTATTTTAAAAAAATTGCCTTTTTGCCTTTTTTACGTTTTCCTCTTTTTTTTTTTTTATATGCCAGAGGACACATCATGAGTGAAACAAGCAGTCAAAGCCACACCTCGAAACACAGATTCACATTTCTCGGGTTTTATACATAAGGAACCAATGGGTGGACCTTTCTGTATCATTATTTTTGGTTTTATGCTTCAAACACGTATTTCTGAATTGCTCCACTATCCAGCTTCCCATTGTGTGGTGCAGAGTAGTTTTGCAGAGAGTGGAGGGGAGTAGAGAGACTTTAAAGATGTGCACATTCTGGGAAAGCAGCATTGTTGATTTACATCTGTGCCATTGTTAAGTTAGCAAAAGATTCTTTGTCTTCTTGATACACAAACATTACTTTTTGGGGATTTAATGGACAGTTTACGAAGGTCACAAATGAACCAATGCAACCATCTGAGCAAAGTGCAACAGTGAATGAAAACTCCAGAGATCTGGTCGACGTTAACCGGAGACAATGTAACACACAATGAAATGAAACAATGAAACATGTCATCTCAAACATCTTTTATTTTTTAAATTGTTGATTTATTGTTCAGTAATGTTTTAAACTCTACTTGCAATTGTATGTTTTTTCTGTTTACTAATATGACTTGATAAATACTAGTCGTGTACATATATCGCTCCATCTCTCACTTCATGTGTTCCAACACACGGCGGTTAGACAGCGGTATCCAGCTGTAGGAGTTTTAACAGGAGCAGTTTTACAATTCTAAGTTTTATTCATGATTCACTCTAAACTACACATTATATACATGAAACGTGATACCAATAAGGAATATCGTGCTCGTTCACACTGTGTATGTGTATTTTCTTTATTGTTGTAGCTAATTAATCTGTGCTGAAGCCACTCCCAGCTGAAAACCACCACTTCTCTCATTACCACCATCTCACAGAATAGAACAACTGCGGAAACCGCTACTGCTCCAGATCCTGCGACTATACTGTACTAACACGTCTTGTAGTTCTCTGATTGCCGTCGTGTTTTTGGGACACTCCAGTAATCCTGACACACTCTCGTGGTAGAGAACACTGACATTGAAGACGACGTTCTGGTAGGTGTCCGACCACATTTTTGCAGCAGTGGAGTACTCGTGGTCTCTGGTGTGGTGCATCAGGATCAGAATAACGTCTTGTGTATCTGCAGAAGAAAGCAGAAGGATG